CCCCCCCCTTCCCTTTTCCTTCAGGAAGCCAGATTTTGCAAGTAACTAAATTCAAAAGAGCAAAAAAACAAACCAGCTGCAACAGGAATGCTAATAGCATTATAAAGTACTGCAAAGAGAAAATTCAGCCGAATACGACGTGTTGTTTTTTTTGATAGATCAATTGCCGCTACAACATCAATCAGATCGTTCTAAATCGTAACATCAGTTAGATGTACAAAGAATAATCAACACTCATTCAGGACTTCAAAAAATTTCGAAAAAAATTTGGAAAATTAGGAATATTAAGAACTTAGGAATATTAAGAACCGCTCAGAAAACTGCTATGAAGATTTGATATTACTGGGATGCTCCCGCTCGCTCCTGCCATCGATTCCTAAGTTCTCTATGGTACCACTTTACTAATGTTCCAGAAAAACTTAGTAAAATTTCTGGTCCCATTTGTTCGGTTTTTAACAAAAATCCGTGTTTCAGCGAGGACTACCTATACACATAGAGGGTTCGATATAGCTAAAATAGAACGTTTCGTCTTCAGATTTTGCTTCAGCAACCGACCTATACTTAAACAAATTCATCTTTCCTTATGATTCGGAAATTAAAAGCCTATCCGGCACATTATTCATCTAAAAAGACGCTGGCGTGTAATTGACAGACAGTGAATGCCCGTATCATGGGTTATCATGGGTTCATGGGTTCTCTCTCGCATCTTGGGTTCTCTCTCCTTTCTTTTTTCCTCTTTTTCTCTTCCCTTATCCTCTCTGTTCTCTTTTCTTTCGCATATCCGTCTTGCAAATTAGTCACATGACAGTCCAATCTATGGCCGGTAAGGGGTCTGTACTGATGATTCCCGCTACACCCGCATGCAAAGTTCGGTCTGTGTTTACAGCTAAGGGATGAAACACAGACGGCTGCATCGTAACATGTCTTCTTACAAATGACAGTAGTGCAATCTCATCTACTCTACTATTTCCTAACAAATTTTAATGCTTTTTTGGTTAGGTTTTTCGAATATTTTATAAGAAATTTTAGATACTAAATTCCGCTTGACCAGCAAAATTGCCAAAGTGTTTGCAGGAATTCAAAGCCTTACTTTTACAAGTACAATACCGGCACTTTCAATAGCAACATCCGAGCCAGCAGCAATTGCAATACCCACGTCTGCACTGGCCAACGCTGGACTATCGTTGATACCATCACCAACCATTGCTACCCGCTCTTTTGCTTCCTGAGATTTTTTAAAAAAATCTGTCAGTCAATAAAAATTTCTGTCTCTTCCACCCCCCCCCCCCTTCCCAAAAAAAAACATGAATTTTTGAGCAATCCCTGTTTTCTATCTGTTCTTCGATACCAACTTCGTTGTTTACTGTACCAAAAATTTCAGTTTGGAATGTAGGCTTTGGAATCGCTTATCATGGAGCCTATTCGGTGAGGTAACTCATCACAGTAGATAAGTAGCAATAAGGTCGTGGTGCTCAACGCATATCAGTGACATATTTTGGAACGGCTAAAGTCCTC